AGCTGAGAAATGAATCAGTAATGTTTTAATAAAATATTACACTGAAATCCGTAGTAATCAAATTTTTTTACAAAAACAATATAATTCTTAATATTTTTAATTATAATTATTATTATGAAAAAAAAGATAGTACACTTTAAAGATCAATTATGCCCCTTAATCTGAATAGAGTGTTCCTCCAAATCTGATTTCTCTAATGAAAGACAACATAAAACCTATATTTCCTAGTCTTAAATACTTATGTTTCATGAAATATCTTTCTAGGTGTTTCTTCCGCTAGTGCATCAGTTCCAGGCACTGCTCTACCACATCGCATGCTGTTTCTTTCTCATCTCTACAGTACCTGCAGTCTGAGTTAGATTGTGTTCCTAACTTTGTTAGATTATTCAATCTACAGTAACCGGTTAATAATCCCATATTAATTCTTAGATTATTCTTTGTTTGTTGTCCTTGAAGCGTTTTATGTTGTAAGTCCCTAAAAGCAATTGTGATAGTCTTGGTGAAATGTAAAGTTAGGCAGTTACTTCATAAATTAAACATCTTTTAAGAACAGTATAAATTTACAACTGTCATGATTTTTTTAGTATTACCTTAATACGATCGCCTAATGTTCGGTAACCAGTAAGTAAGGAACAAAAAGAACAGAGAGCAGCAGAAGTTGTAAGTCAGGAGAATGATTGATATTTACTCATACAGAAATTATATTTCATTTCCATATAATAAGACTATGCATAATAATTGAAATTATTTCTTATTTATAAGTAATAATTATTTTGTTTATCTATTTTATTTAATATCCAATACCAATATCTCTGTTTAATTTATTTAATGGTCATGTGCTAGATCAACATATTTCTAAACTGAAGGGCATTTGAAGTAACTAGAATAAATATTGCTGATTAATGACTAAAAAATGCTTAATATTTTAAAAATAAAATTTATTTTGTTTTAATAAAATCAAATAAAAACACATCTTAATTGTAATAAATTCCTGAAGTGTTCATGTGCAATGAATTTTAATTTTATTTATTATAAATATTTATTGGATTAAATGAATTTAGTGTGAATTGTGGCAAATCACCTAAATGACGTGATTTGTGTCGTGTATCTATTTTATTCCAATCAAATACTTGGATACTCGTGATTTGAAATTTATACGAAATTAAAACGAATAATGAGCATTTATTATAATTGCCATCTTTGAGTCAGGCTGTCTGCTACAACGACCTGAATGCATATAGCCAATGTGTTCCGGTAGTAAATTGCAATTACTTTACGATTAAATCTATTTTTTTATTTATTAATTATTATAAGTTTTTTTCCTGAAAATAATGAGATTGTTTGTATTGCAAAACATTTCCTATATAAGTCAGCGATACACGATTCTGTAAATGAGTTAGTCATACAATAAATTTAAACATTTATTAGAACTTTGTATTTTTTTTCCACTTTAATTATACTTATCTTATAATTGTATATATTAAATATTATTAAAATTATCTAAAAGTTTTATTTATTTTATCTGTAATGTTAATTTAAGATCTACAATTGAAAAACATATTCAGAAATTTAACACAAATTGTATGGAAACTCTAAATCAAAAACAAACAACATGTCAGGCCTTTCAAATTGTTGCTCCAGGATATTTGAGACATAGACCCGTTGTAAAACTTTACGAAGTGAATTGAATTGAGTGAAACGGAAATTCAAGCCGTAATGTATGCCAATGGACTGTCCGTCCAATTTAATAGACAGCCAAACAGACGGATTTGTGAATAGAGGAGTTGAATAGTTAAAGGTAAGTCAGATTGATTGACACTGATATAAGTCAAAAAGTGTAAATTCGCAATTTTCGTTGGTAACTAAAGACTAAAAATCCTGACATAAAAATATATTTTTCTTTTCTGACTTTCCTTGAGTTTTATTTACCACCTACAATTAGTAATTAAAATTTAAGTAAAATAATTAGTTAACAACATTTGAAAGTGGGAAGCAGCAAGGAGAGTCTTTAACATGACAAATAAATTTAAATCAAACAAAACAATTTAATGGCTAATAAGAAAATTGTTTTTTAACAAAAAAAAACACACATGTAAGATATATGTTACATGATAAAGTCTACACTTCATAACTCCAGTTTTACGGAAATTAAAAAAAATTATGCATAAGCTAACCACACATTTATGTTTGGAAGTATCTTTGAAGTAGGTATGTATTCCATTGTATATTATGCAAAAAATAATTGCACTTATGAGTCATTGTTGAAAAGAGTTGTCAGCGTAGGTGTTTAGAGTTTCGTTAATATATGAATAGGGCAAATTATAATGCTTAGCAAATAGCTTATGTGTCGATTATGAGCATGACTATTTCATTTAATATAAAAATTATCTATGATTAAGGACAAAAAAAGAAGTATTAGTATCCACTTACTTATTTCGAAATCTTGTATCAAAAAAATTTTGGAAAATACATGCCATTAAATATTGCGAAAGGTTGTCCATTTTGTACGCCATTTTATACATCACTATTTCCATAGCATATGTGAAACAGAACTACATGGGTAACATGTGTATAGTTAAAGAAGGGCTGTCCGGATGAGATACGATCGTGGTCCAATACAAATCACTATAAAGATTGGAGAGCAGCAAAATACACACTTTCATAATTGTTTTCCACACAAATAAAAACACAATGCTAATGTTAAATTTAATTTTAATTTATCAATTTGAATTCATTTATTTTCAAAACATGTTTTACCTCTATTGCATGAGGAAATGTAAGTTTCGGTAATGTGCATTGGCAACCAAAATCTTGGGTTTAATTACCACTGGATTTTTTTGTGGCAAAAAATCTTCACATTCTCCACACTCCTGATGAACATTCGACAGCTATTGCCAGTTATGTGCTGACAAGTCATCGAATATTATACCTTCTGCTCAAAAAGTACCCGGATTTTGTAAATAAAACACACAAATTTAAATTTTATTCCAAATTTATTTTATCTCCTTCAAAATATGCTCCTTCTGAAGCGATACACATATGCCAACGCTTAACCCAATTTTCCATACAATTTTCGTAGGCCCGTTACCGATTCAAGTAACTCAAAATGCTTACCACGAAGGGACAATTTGAGTTTAGGAAACATGAAAAAGTCGTACGGCGTCAGATCTGGCGAATATGGTGCCTGACCGATGACAGTGGTGCCGTGTTTGGTCAAAAAATCGCGTACTACAAGAATTTTCCATAGCAAAAATCGCTAAATGCGTTTGAGGTAGTCTCACATTAACAGCTGCTGTAAACAAACTAATTGACAGCTGGCGCTCAAATTTGTACCATATGTCAAGAAAGGTCTATTACTTAAGGAGTAGTTAACAAACAATAAGATCCGGATACTTTTTGAGCAGAAGGTACTAAAAGAATCTAACACTGTAAAATATGCCATATGTGACTACAGTTGTATTGTATATTTTAATACAATACAGTCCGTAAATGAAGTCATATCTAATGAATGACGAAATTTTAAATTTATCATTTCACTCTCATTTCTCATTTCCTAAATTTTGGCATTTAGAAAATATCAGTTTTGTTGTATTATGAATATCAGTCAAATTATAATTCTCATCATGTTTTTAAATTCTATTGTATATAATACTTTTAAAATATGTGATAAGTACAAGATTTTAATATAATATAATCTTTGAATTGAATTTCGAAGGACATTGTAAAGGGAAAACATTGGTTATTCAAAAATAAATAATTTAATTTAGTTTTTGCATTGTATTGGATATGTAAATCATAATATATGACTACAATTATATGTTATATTTTAATACACTACAGAAGACTCCAAAGTTACTGTTAAATAATAAATCTAAATAAATAATAATCTGGCACCAGGAGTTTTTTTTTTTGTGTTATGTTTACCCATTTCGTGAGCTAACTAGGAAAACAATATTTTTCTACAAAAAATGAGATAAAGCCGCAATCGCATTTTAAGTCGCTTTTAGAACAATACCTATAAAATCGTAGAATATTTTGCGAACTGTGATTTATGGTAGCATGAATGTTTAATATTAAGACGGGACTAATATGAATGTAGAGGCATGAACATTGAAAATTATAAAATAATATTTTTTATCACACCATGTTGTCAAAGTTAGTTCGTAAGACTTAAAATGCTATTTATTTTATATTTTTAAAAAACCATTTAGTAAAACAAGAAACCTTCGTGGTACATTTGATACGATCCTAACACTACTTGGCAATGTCAAGTCGTTTATATAAATGACCTCAATTTACGTGCTCGAAGTTCAATTTAATTAAATCTATCATTTTGCAATGCCGATTAAGTTTTCGGGAATAAGACATACAGTCAAATTGACCATGTATTTTAATGTTAAATAATTATTTACAAAGTTTTATTTATATGTGGCTTACTTACACTTGACATCTCTTTCTCTTGAATGTTGGTAAAATATATTAGTAAAAGTTTAAAAGGACTACTATGGTACATGTCCATCTCTACTGTTTGGTGTGTTATTACGAAAAAAAGCTTGACTTTAATAAAATATAGGAAACAGAAGTGAAAACATATCTACGAAATCTATTCTAAAGCTTACAAGAAACCAAAAAGGGACAAATAGAAGATGTCCTTTTCCTTAAAATACGATGTATCAACATTTCTCGAAACTGCACTTATAAAAAATGTATGAAACTAAACTTGACTCTTAAATTTAAAAAAAAAAAATCTGAAACGGAATAAGTACCTTATTAAATAAAAATTATAATGTTTTTAAAAACATTTAATTGTAATAGAGATTAAATAAAATAACTACACGTGAAATTAATTTCATGTACATAATAATTACAGATCAATTAAATGAATTTCGGTTCAATCGACCGTTTAAAGACCTATACATTAAACGTGATGTATATAGATTATACAATTTAGTGAAATGCGAACGTTGAGTAAAACAATACATAGTTTAATAGACTTCAGGATGTACGGATATATAACAATATTTCTTATTGTATTGAGTTTACCTGATGTGAGTGCTATTAAATATTATATAGATGTATATATTTAGAATTGATAATAATAACTACTTAAGGAAATATCGGGGGTATTTAAACTAACAAATGCCATTTGTGAGTCTCATAACAAGTCATGGGCTGTTATTAACAAGTGTCGATTAAAAGCTCTCCGGCGAGATACCACAGCACTCTATATTAACGTAACACTTGTGGAGCCTGTGAAAAATACAATAGTATATATATATGAATGCAAGTTTAAATAATTCTTTTAAAATTTTAATTTGTTCTTAAAAAAAGCTAAATATGGCGATTCTGAAAAAGGCAAATGGTTACAAACCATTTCTGTACAACATTACCCTTGATACTTGTGAATATCTGGCAAAGCGGAATAATCCTCTCATGAATCTCATATTCAAGTTTGTTCAAAAATATTTGGAAATCGGCAACTGGTGTCCCTATGAGGTTTATTTTAACATTTATCCTTACTATTCAATTTAATAATTTGTGTTTTTTGATATAATTTTATTTAAGGGATTCGTTATAGTGAAAGGCTTATACTTGAAAACGGAATACCTGCAAAGTCTTCCTCTTCCCGATGGTGAATACATCTTAGCAGGAAATTGGTTTGTGAATAATTTTCATTTAATAACATCAAATTTTTATTTTACATTCACAAAGTAATGTCTACTTTAATAAAATGTGCTGATACTTATAAAAATATAAAGTACTATATTATACAAACATTTTAAGTGGGGCTTTAAAAAGATTCATATGTTTTAAAACTTTCAATAAATCCTTTATAAGGGCTTATAAATTATTTTATGTTAAGTTTTAATATCCAATTAAACACCATCAAGTATGTAAAATAAAAATTAGTCAGGCCATAGAATATATAGGAATTTTAATCATGATTTCATGGGCTTTCCTTAAATAAAATTTAAGGAAATTTACCACGAGTGGATCAATGAATAATAGTTTTTCTGTGCTTCTGTAGCGCATTGTTAAAGAAATAAAAAATTTATTAAAACAAATATCCGATCACTATATTATCTCCAGAAGTGAAGCTTTACTCCAGTAGAACACTTTTCCAAAGGTATTTGAAGTCATTGGACTATACGTATTTAAAAAATATCTAGAAAACAATCTGGTGGATGTATTACTTTTGAATAAAAATTTTATTATTTCTTTAATAAACAAAATTATTTTTATATTAATTCCAATTTTTGGATAGCAAGCTTTCTTTTTGTCTCAGAACTTATAGATATCTACTGATTACTTAAGTATTTTTATCAAAAAAGATATGAATTAAAAAAATATTTTAAAAAATTTGATCTGTAGGTTGCAGATCTTTTAGAAATGATCAACGACATGAAATAAATTTTCATTTTATATATAAATAAAAATAATTCAACCAGAACAATCTTTCATTTCAGACTACTCCGATTTGCCAAAGGCTTTCAGAAAAGTCAATTACTTGAAGCAATTTTTTCAACTACACTATATATAGATATAGCTTGCTTCTGGAGAGATAAGATTTTAAAAATGTTAGCTTCTTCAAAGTTTAAAAAGCATTAAAAATATTTAGGTTATTGTGGTCAGATTTTCACGGTTACCCAAACAACTATCAAGGGTCTAAGCGAAATATCTCCAAGACCAGAACTAGTTATTAACCACAAGGAATCCACTTACGAAATAGCCACGTAGTACAGAATTTCTAGAATTAATTTCAAATTTTTTAGACTGTATTTTCATTAAGTAAGTTGAATACGTATAAACTGTAATTAATTTTTAGCAATATTTGATGTTTGTATGGAACGGAGCTGTTTTCTTTTAAAGTATAAATTTAGTCTCATTCGTAATTTGTTTTATTAAATTGAGGTTAATTTTTATTACTCATTTTAAAAATAACCAGAGGTAAAATGCAGTTTTCATTTCCTCTAATATTGCACCCAATTTGTGCGTTTCCTTTAGGCCTAGTGTAATAAATCCTTACTCACTTTATTTATGATTGTTGTTTGTGTAATTGTGTTGTGTTGTGTTATATTGCTTTTTACACGTTACATTTTTTTTATTTCTCCTGCAGCCAAATTGAGTTTTTAAGCGATATTGGCTGATGTATTCCATCGCTATTAATAGGTTTGCCACAGATATGGAGCTCGCAATGCACTTCTTATGTGAATAGTTTTGGAGTTATTTTGTCTACGCCAACGCTTTGTGTTTATTGTTTTGGGTATAGTTTTTTAGTGCCTGGGGAAAAATTTTGACTAATCTCAATACTACGTTTACAGACTTCATCTACAAATTTTATGAAGCGTCATAACGAGTGATTCAGTTATATAATTGTAAATGCTTTGAAGATAAATTACTACCAACAAAGCCTGTGCTTCATAGTTTGTCATTCTTCGAATAAGCATTATTCCAGTGTTATTGTAAAATAATCTAAAGTTATTAAACTCAGACCTGGGTTAATAAATATTTTTTTTTATAAAAATTTCTATTGTAACTTAGAAGCTATCCTATTTAATATGGTGAAAATCATGTTAAATCATACCTGAATACTTTTTATAAATTTTAAAGTTTTTTATGTAAATGTACAAGTTTTACATTTATATGTTACAATACTTAAATACCCAGTCCATTGTAGTATGAAACTTACAGTAAAAATATGTATATAACTACATGTCTTTTGAAATCACTGAAGGTTGTTTAATTTAACATACTTCAACAAGTTTAGTGTGAACAGATATTCAAATAGAGGCATTGTGTGAATAAAAGAAGTCATCGGTTATAAATGAATAAAAGCGTTTCGTTCAATAATATACAGTCGGTTGGACATTAGAAAATAGTATTAATCCCCAAATTTTTAATAAGACTAAAGCTATCGTACATACTATCAGACAGTCAAGCTGGCTTAAAGTCCTTGATTTCCGTCAAATTTACATCCAGTAAGTTTTTTGATTGGTTCACCTCTCGAAACGTGATGTTAACAAAGGTCAACATTTCTCTAATCTGGGTTTCCAGTTGTAGAAATATTTTCGGTAATTGCAAAGCAGTCGAGCACACAGTCAGTGTGCTTCAAGAAATCATTTGGATCACCTAAATAATCTAGACATATCACTGACAACATACAAGCTGTTACTGAGCTCTTTTTGTGCTTAATTTTTTAATAAAAGATGGGAAGACTCAACGATATGTAGGCATCTGTATGCAATTTGATCACGAAAGAATTCAATACTGCCATCGAGTTGTCTCCTAGGTTTACTGACATGTGATTGCAGATTAAGAAATCATGCTAGCACATTGAGTCTCCCTGTCAATTATATACATATGTCGCAATTGTGGACAGGATGATAAAATTCCTTCTCATTTGCTCTGTTCGTGTCCAGTACAAGGATGGCGCAGTCTTACCTAATCTAGAGGCCTTATTTTTTTGAGAACTTCGGTGAACTGCAAGAAATTCCGTTAAACAGGAAATTAAGCTTTGTCAAAGGTTCAGAACAGCTTTAAAACTTTGAGTTTTTCATAATACGGCAACACAATAGGCCAATAGGCCTAAGTGGGTCCCTTTAGTCCGCCAGTATAAACTAAACTAACCTAAAGTTATAGTATTAATGCGTTATCTTTGAAAACGGTATACCGCAATCAAATTGTTGTAAAGTATGCACGCCGTGGCGAAAACAAGGTCTCTGAGTATTTATTGACGAATTAAAAATTGTGACAAACTTAAAGATCTAAGAATCGAATCAGTCGAAAAATAAACCCAAAATGTAAAACTTGAGTAAAAAGCAAACGAAAACAGCAATCAATGGGAACCCATCTTAGTCACAAACATGGACGGATATATATTAAGACATAGAAGATATGTTGACTTACATAGTTAACTCCTACAAAATAAATGACACCAATCTAAGACCCTAAGGGTAACCCTAAGCCCCACACGTTCAGTTCGCTACACATGTGTTTATTTGGCTATTTAATTTTATAAATTACTATGAATTATTTATTAATTTATTAGTATTTAAAAGTTATTATTAAATAATTAAAAACAGATTAAAAATATGACACAAAAAAGTTCAAAAGAAAGAAAACATTGCCTAAGCTAGATTAAATATAACTGACATCTATAAATTTCTTTATAAATTTTACATTTTTAAAATTATACGATTAAGTAGGTAAAATGTAAATAAATACGCTTGTAGCTACTCAAAATAGAAAATAAAAAACTTTTTTTTCAATAGTTAGAAAATGATTTAGCACATTTTCATAATTCGAAATTTTATCTTGAGTTTATGCGATTTTAATTAAAAACTCACCATGGGTGGCTTTTATTATCGTAACCCAGCACTATAAATAACTGTTAATGATAAGCATTATAAATTTTATGACCAACTATTTGACATATTAGGCAAGCTCATGCCACAAAGCAATCTCAGTTAGCAAGCTCGGATTGAATTATTCTGAGGGAATAAATTAAAGTTGAAGTGATTTTGGCGCCGCAACGTGATAATACTTGATAAAAATGCCACGAACGTGCGCTATTGTAAATGCTTTCCACTGAAGTCCAATAAGTGAGAATTATATTTAGAGAACGCTTAGAATAACCTTAGATTGCGATTAGGTGTTTCATAATTTAATACAGCCTAGCACAGCACTTAAGTATCAACTTGGCTGCTAGAAGTATCAGAGAAGTGAACTCTTTAGTCATTGACAGGAGCAGTTAGACGAGAATCGCTCCTAGCTTATGTCAAGCCTCTTACTCATATTAATATATACAGTTTGCACCTACACATTGCAGACAGTGGCGTCACATTGTTTGTGGCGTTGACACGTTCAGTTTAAAATGATTTACGATCCTCGATTTGGATTTGTAGTAGTGATCTTTTACGACTTCAATATAGAATATTATTTATTTCATAATTTTATAATTTTTTCTTGCTATTGTTTTGTCATAAATCTACAAAATGTATCTGAGTATCTAAAAATGATAAAGCTAAAAATTTTACTGAGTTAAGTTTATGCATAAATATTTTAAAATAAATTACAAAAATCATGATTTATTTACTTGTATTCTTATGAGCACGAGTATATAGAGTTAGACGTATTAATATCCGTATCAGTTTCTTCACTGATTTCTACAGTGTGTCAACAGGTTTTACCTTGAAATTCATAGCTTTTTTGACGTGAAACTTCTATTTATATTTAATCTATTTACTAAACTTTATGAAATAATTTCTCAAAACTTAAATATTTTTTAAAAGCTTAGTATAATTTAATAATAATATACTAATTTTCTTAAGATGTGTACTAATGATCAAAACGAATTCCAGAAATCAGTTTCATATCCCCATTGCTCTTTGCATTGTATAAAAATTATCTCTAAAAAGAGTTAGCAGGAAGAAAATATTTAATGGGTCCTTTATTCAGTACATATCCTCAATTCAGGAGTCTTAAATTTTGCACAATACGATTGATTAACAAGTTTGAGCCATACTGAGAAGAGTTGTACATAGAAGTAAATTTGGAAGAGGTGCACGTCTGTTTACTAGTAAGAATATACTCTTTAAAATGAGTTAATTGTAATTACAAATAAATATTCATATCTCGGAAAACTATTTACACTTAA